ATTCATAGCTTCAAGCACAGTGATGAGAAAATTCCAATCAACAGAGTCAAAATCTTTCATTAGATCCACCTTAACCATACACCTAGAGAACATATTTTTTCCTTCCGTATTTTTGGACCATTTCCTGAGCTAGCAATATGTTCTCCCCAATGATTCTACCTTTAACAAATATTGTTTGATTCTCACTTATTAAATGAGGCAAACATTCACTAAGCCTAGAGGAAATGATCTTAGCTATACATTTATAAAGAATGTTATAGCAAGATATTGGTTTAAAATTTTTCATTTCCTCAGGGTTCTTAGTTTTAGGGAGCAGGGCAAGGAGAGTGGAATTTACCTTCAAAGGGAACACAGAGAAATTGAAACAATGTTGTATAGCTGCAGTGATCTCTTCCCCCACTATACTCCAGGCAACATGGAAGAAGCATGATGAATAGGCATCTGGACCAGGGTTTTTTTCTCCCTTAAACCCAAACATAACCTTCTTTATCTCTTCCGAAGTAACAGGTCTGCACAAATCAGTGGCAAGGATACTAGGAAGAGTCTTCTGCAACAACCCCTTATAAAATTCCACTGACTCAGCCTTCACAGTCAACTTTGCCAAGTAAGTTCTGGTAGAATCCCACAGCTACCTCACGCATTGTCTTAGTATCAACTACTCTTTCCCCAGGATTCAGTGATGAGAGATCGAATGGCATTCCTCTGGTTTCGAATCTTGACAGAGCGATGGAAATAAGAGGAGTTTGAATCCCCTTCTTTTAGCCAAATCTCCCTAGATTTCTGTCTAAGGAATGATTCTTCTGCTTGTCTTACAACTTTCAGCTCCACTCCACAATCTTTAACATTAGAAAAAGAATCAGAAGAAGGATTAACTAATGCATCAGCATGGGCACTTTGCAGTGCCAGTTCTTTTAACTTCACGCGCTCCCTCATATCAGAAAACTTCTCTTTATTCAGTTCCTTGAGGAGCTTCTTTAGAACTCTTAGCTTCTTACAAACTCTAGAGAGGGGAGAACCCTCGACCTCAGCACTCCAAGCCTCTTTAACAAGGTCCATAAACTTCGAATGTGAAGTCCAAAAATTGAAAAATTTAAATGGTTTTGGCAGAGATTTGATCTTACTATCAATATTGAGAAGAATGGGACAGTGATCAGAGACAGAAAGATCTAAGAGATCCACAACACTATTCTTCATTACCTCTAACCATTTCAAAGTAATGTATACTCTATCCAGTCGCCTTGCAACATGATTACTCTTCTGCTTATTGATCCAGGTGAACTAAGGGCCTGAAGATTTATGCTCTACTAGTTCAACAAGATTCTGCCAATTTCTAACATCTTCCATACTACTATTAGGGGCTGGATTGTTTGAGGCCTCCTCGGGACCATTAATGGCATTAAAGTCCCACAGAATTGTCCAAGGAAAGTTCCCAACCCTTAACTTGACAAGATCACTATATGATTTCTTCCTATCAGCCTCCTCATTTGATGCATAAACAAAGGTAACAAAGAAGGGAGAACCTGAACTCTCCAAAGCATGAATAAACTAATCTGTGCTATCCATAATACGCATGTGGACATCTTGCTTCCATAGAATCCACAACTTCCCCAAAACATTTGAGTTATTAGTCACTTTCTTCTCCCATCCAAGGAATCTCTTACTTATGAGTTCATCTGTCTCACTAACTCTGATTCTTGGCTCCAATATACCAACTATATCTATATTATATTTATTTACTAGCAGTCGAACTGCCTTATTCTTATCAGGGTCTTTGAATCTCCTGGTATTCCAAGAAAGGATCTTCATCTCTTCTTTCCTCCTTTTCCCCACAGGTGGTTTCTTCTTTGCTGAATTCCCCCAACTGTGATCCAAGGATTTTTCTCATTACCAACAGGAGGAGACTGAGAAGCTAACCTCCCAACTGGTAAGTTAGACTTCTCAATCACAAGCTTAGAGATAACAGGACTCCCAGATTGTACTGGTGACCCTTTTACCGCTTCAGCAAAACTCACTGCTGGGCTCCCAATTACTTGAGGAGCAAATTGAGAACTCCCCTCTTCATTTTGCTCAAAGGTACCTTCTTCAGCAGGGCTTTGCATAATCTCCTTACCCTTATGACTAGCTACCTGAACTTGCTCAATAGCAATTAGAGGACCAACTTCAATATTTTTTGTAGCTTCCTTCTTTATAGGAACCCATTTCTTCCCACTCTTAGCAAGCCAATCACAGTCATGACCAAAGATCTCGCATCTGCTACAACCCAGAGGTTTGTTGAGGTACTCAACCTCAACTTCAAATGACGGATCATCATCAGGATAAAGCCTAACTTTGTTAGGAAAACCACAGTTAGCAGCCAGATCAAGACAAACTTTGGCAAAACCCAATTGTGCCCCAACCCAACCCTAGTAGTCTGATCATCCAGAGTGGTGACCCTATCATACTAGCAATCCATTCATGACCTTCAAACGAATGGTACTCAAGAGGAATACCCCAAATCTTCACCCATATTGGCAGAGTTTCAACAATTAGGGTAACAGGTTGAATACCAGGAAACCACTTCCTAAAATACACTGGATTACCTTGGAAATGCCATGGCCCAGATTTGAACACCCATTTTCCAGTAGCTGCAGACGGAAATTGAAACACCATCAATCGACGACCAAATTTAGAGATACGAACAACCCCATCTCTCCCCCACAGACTCGTAGCCCACTGCTGGAGAGCTGCCGGTTTGGGCACAGAACCAACGAACTGAGCGATGAGGCAATCTTTCCACCTCTCCTCACCCCTCTTCTTGACTTCAAGAGGAAGTCAAAAACCATCATCCTTCTTCTGAGGAGGTCGATGCGTCATTTTGTTTGATCCACCTCGAAAAGAGAAGCCTAGCTAACAAGCACGACGACCTGAGCTGCGCCGGCGTCGCCGCCATTGCGCAAAGAGAATTTAGAGAAAAAGTTCATAGAGAGAGAGAAGATGGGTATATTGTAATAACTAAATTAATCATTAGTTATAATAATAATTTATTTTAGAAAAATTCACTAAATTTGATTACATGTTTTCTATGCGTCTACATTTATTGCACGTGGTTAGGGTATAGCGTATATGGTGTAGAGTATAGAATATATGGTTAGTTAAGTAGTAGGTTACTCGATGCGCTGCCCCGAATAACCTACAACCCGATCCGCCAGGAACCCGCCTGACCCAAAACCCGATGAACCCGAACCTGATGAACTCGCAACCTGATTGAACCCGAACCCAATGAACCTGCAACCAGACTAACCCGCAACCCGATAAACCCACAACTTGATGAACCCGAAACCAGACTAACCCGCACCCCACCCGAACCCCGCCCGATTGACACCTATATGACAGGTGATAAATTTAACAGAATTAAACGATGGTTAATCAATCATGAAATAAGATTTAAAGCGAGTGATTAGAAGAAGAAATATTTGAATTACAAAAAAAAAATTAATAATAAGATGATGGCTAAATTACACGTTGGGGCACTAAAATTATATAAATCTTTCTTTTGCCACCCAAATTACTTTTCTTTCTTATTAGGCACTAACTTTATGAATCATTTCACCGTTAGTCACCGGCCGTTAGTCTCCATCAGACTCCGTTAATTTTTTGATGACGTGGCAAACGGAATTGCTGACTGGGCCGTTAAATCAACGACATGTCAATTTTGTAAAATAAAAAAAATACTTAACCCCATTCTCATCGTAATGACCCCCAATGCCGCCACCAACTTCAACTTCGCCAATTACCTTGACTGCCTCCAGGCCAAAGGACTAAGACTTGACCAATTCATCCATCCATCTCCATCTCCATCTCCATCTTCTCCGTTTGCAGGGGTTGAATAAGGGGTAAGTATAGCCGAATTACAACCATCCCCTGCTTCATCCCCACCACCGCCATTTTCCCTACATTCCCCATCGTTGGAGACAAAGGTATAGTACGATGCCACCGCCGCCGGAGATGCCCTCATCGTGTGTCACTGTGGGCAACTGCTGGATTTGGAGCGTGGCTACGTGCTAAGTTGTTGGAGCTTGTGCTTGGAGTACTAAGAGAAAGCGGCGGATGCGACTGCCGGGTGTGCAGGGTTGTCGGAGTTGTTTGACGTTGCGGGAGGGTTCCTTGTTCTTTCTTTCATCCGCTTCAATCTCTCTTTTTTGGTCTGGTCTGTTCCAGATTGATCACACTCAATGAAAAATGAATAATTCGTTTAGTCAACCATACAAAAAATTGAACCAATAACCAAGAAAAATAATTGTTATTTTCCTTAACATATCAATCCTAACATGCATGAATAATTTTGATACCCTAAATCTTAGTACATAACAAAGCTACAAAGTAAAAGCATCCCAACTTGCACCATAACATCATAAACATTAACATAATGTCATATGGAGACACAATTATCTATACTCTCTCGTTAAATGTGGTTGTGAATGAAGGAGGGACGAGATTCACAAAACTAAGGTTGAGACTTGGGTGTCGTTGTGTGAGTTGGGAGAGTGGTAGAATGGGTTGTTAACACATATTGTCAAGTCGGTTGACTAGACCATACAGTCTACGGTCCGGAACAAACTGTGCATTACGTTTTGGACCACGGTTTTTCTAACGGTCTGGTCTATTTTCCCAGCCCTGCCTCCGACAGTGAGAATTAGGGGTATTATTATTTTTTTTTTTTATAAATTGACATGTCATTAATTTAAAGGGCTAGTCAGCAGTTCCGTTTGCCACATCATCAAAAAATTAATAGAGTTTACGGAGTCTGAAGAAGACTAACAGTTGGTGACTAATGGTGAAACGATTCATAAAGTTAGTGGCGAATAAGAAAGAAATATAATTGAGATGGCAAAAGTGAAAATTTATATAATTTTAGTGACCAAACGTATAATTTAGCCTGACCAAACATGTAATTTAGTCCGCCCTCAAGAACGCAAAGGGCAAAATTTTATAAACCTTTCACACAAACGTGGAAACAGCGAAGTGTCACGGAAATCAGAAATGGCGTCGACCAGCGTTTCAAAGGGCCAAATCCTCTCCCTCTACCGTTCCCTCCTCCGGACTGCTCGCCAGTTCAGCGACTACAACATTCGGGAGTACACCAAGCGTCGGACAGTGGATGGCTTCAGGCAGAACCGCGGTTTAACCGAACCGTCTTTAATCTCCGCCGCGTTCTCCGAAGGGAAATCTCAGCTCCAAGTCGCCGAGAGACAGGCCGTTGTTTACTCGCTCTACGCTCCTGATATCAGAAGCGTTATGGAGACCAACTTGAAAGGCAAGCGCTGAAGACGACTTGTGTTTGTATCTGTATTTTTCATTCTCTCTTCCCCGGCTTTCCAGCAGAAATACTTATTCTAGAATGATTTTAGTCCGGCTTTTTAATTGTTCACGTTTCTACCTGGATTGGGACTCTGTAGTTTCGATATTGCTAGTGTCTGTGGTTACTAAGTGGTTAATTTCATAGACGAATAATCAATCAGATGGTTTAGGGTTTTTCTTCTGAGTCAAGTTCGATTCCTGAAGAAGAGTTTGTTTAATTCGTTATGAACTACAACCATGATTGAAATTTCAGTTCAGGTGGATGATAACAAATACTTGTTTCTTAGATAATTCATAATTGTCTTCAATACTTCCCGACGAGGTACCTTTTGCAGCGATTACGGAACAAACTTGAGACGGCTTCAGATTGTTGGACATGTTAGCTGAGGTGTAGAACCCAGAAACAATAACAAGATTCTTTCTTGAGTGATTGTTATGTTGTGCTCATGTGTTCAAGTAGTGTCTAGAAGTTGATTTCCAAAGGGAATGTGTGATTGTCATTTCCTACTGAGACAGACATCGTTTGAGTGTATGCACTAGATGCTGATGTAATGAGGATTGCTATTTGCTAATACGTTGAAGCTTGTATGAATAATTTGTAGCCTGGTGACAATTTCTGCTCCTTCTCCTTGTGTAATTGAAAACAAATTTGTCCTCCGTCATCCGTGTTTATGTTGCTACAGATAAGCTCTACTCAATGAGAGGAAAGATTTGTGTCTTGCAATAGCTGCTCGAATGATAATGGCTTCCTAGAAGATTATGGTTCCACATTCAGTTGATATTGTGAGTGACTGTTCCATCGAGCAGGATTTTGCTTTTGCCCAGTTTTGTTTCGTTTTTCAGAATGCAGTGATTTTTATTATATTTGGATGTTGAGCAACAGCATTCATTGTACTATGGTTCATTAGTCATTTTACTCAGCTTCCAGTATGGACTTGGACTGTGTTTGTTGGTATTGTTCTGGTTCAAGCACTGTTATACAGCAACTGAACCTCTGGTTCAGATTTCAACCAGATATTAGGTTGGTTCCTTAAGAAACGAAGCCGAAATACGAAAGAAGTTCTCTCCTGCTATCATGTAAAGTTACATTGACATGCTTTTACATTGTTTTTTTGTTTTAGCCAACTGAATGGTTGGTTGAAGAGCCATAAATTCTTTCCCCAGTGTTTGACCTTTTGTGGGTGTGTCACGAACATAGACTTCCAAAGCCTGTGCGGCGGTCAACACGGTTCGTGACAGGAACGCTGAAGCTTTTTGATGGTGTAGATAAAGCTCTTATGTCCTTATGATTGTCATTTGCTCTCGTCATTTGCTCTCTAACCAGATTTCTCTTGGAGCAAGCTGTTCTATGAAGCTTCTAGATTAATGATTTGAGTATTTGACAACGATATGAATGCTGGTATTTGCTTGTTGGATCTTAATAGCCAGTGTAAAGGGATTCTGTCATTTAATCATTTACAAGGATGTGTTTGGTTGAATTTGTGCTAATGAATTGGATTTTCATTTCATGTTTCTCTATGTTCAACGTTTTAATCTTGTCCTGGTTACAGTTAAGTGGTTAGCATCTTTAATTGGATAAAATATCATCACTCGTTGACTAATCATCGATTACTTTATCTAGAGATTTATTCTAACATGTGCCTCCAATTCTTATTACTCCTATTTTTGTCAAATTCCAATTTGTCTTGTTCCAGCAGAAGGTTTATGCTTTCAGAACCCAGGTGCTCTGGATTCTGAAATCAGCATGTGGATAAAGCCTTTGTGCATGCAGACCCATTTATGGTTGATGGCATAAATATAAATGCTTTGCGGAATGGGTTGAAAATGGGTCTGTGATTGGAACAATACTGACCACTTTTCTCTTGGACAGTGATCGAGTTGTTCGTTCAACTCTATTCCATCGGAGCATACAGAATTGAACTGCAAAAGGCTGATGGTACGGAAGGCAAGTAAGAACTCTTCCTTAGCTGCTTTGAATGGTCGGAACAGTTATAGCCTCGGAGGAATGACAGAATCCGGAAAAGGGACAGTGGGCACCAGAAGCAAATTGACTAATTGAGTTAAAAAAGGGAGAGGGTAGAGAGACCCATACCAGAATATTTAACTGATATACAATTGAAGGCAGAACTGTGAGGGAATGCAGGTTTCTGCTCTACATGGCATCAACACTTCAGCAGTAGCAAGGTCACAAATGCTTTTCTCCAAGAAAAGCTGATCACAGCTAAACCCCCATGTCCCTCCCTCCCCTTCTAACCTCTTAACTAAATGCTTTATGATCTCTACAATCCCTCCCTGCCACTACAGCTAAGAAACTAGTAAGAACTTGCCGGGGAAAAAAAGGGAATTCCCTCTAGCTAGGGTTCATAACACCCAAGTAAATAGGGAGGCTATTCCATAGCTAGGCAAGAGAAAACAAGAAAAAGGAGAGAAAGAAGCATGAAAAGATGAGTGTCTTCCTTCCATGTTGCTTGAATCTCCCTTGAGAGGTAAGAATCTTCACTCCTCTATCTTGAAATGAGCTCAATCCCCTTCTTCCTCCTTTGAATGATACTTTCTCTCTCTAGAATAGGAAGAGGAAACCTTATTCTCACTAGAAAACTTCCTTTATTCTGAAAACTAAAATCCTATGAGAAGCTCTCCTTTCTCCTTCAGCTCACTTCCCCTTTTGTACCCAGACCGATGGTTGTTCAGAGTCTCAGTTCACGGCCGTGAACATTCGTCTTGGACCGTGAAGTCGAGAAGATTCGCACCATATCACTAAGTCACTTCACGGGTTGGGGCTTGAGTTCACAGTCGTGTGATCGTGAACTGACTGGACTCCAGATAGTCCGAAAACTGCTGTGGACCCTCCACACTTCACGGTCTCGGGCAATTGTCACGGTCTTTGGACATTTTTTCACTTTTTCGCGCTTTTCAATCTCCAATTGACCCGAAACTTGTCCTCGACCTTCCCACACGTGCTAGGACACGAAATGTAACAAAAAAGCACAACTTAGTGACTCGTCCCAAATATCACAACAAAATCCCACCTAAGGCCCAAGTATAAACCTTAGATGGGTGAAATATTGGGCAAGTATGTTTAAATATCAACCCGGGTCGGACCATGTACCACTACTTCCATTGTTTGAAACATTATATAGCGGATTGGTTCTTGGTTGAAAACTATGAGGTTCAAATTAAAATAAAGCAAAGGTTAATGGTTTGAAAGCTCTAGATGAGAAGGATCACTTGGGTGTCGCTTCCCCCTAACTACTACCATAGCACGTGGACTCGAATGGGACGTTATGGCCAAGGCAATCTTGAACCGCTAGGAGGTGCAACTATGGTCAAAGACCACACTCTCAATTCCCAAACTAAGGGATACATTATAGGCTACTAAAGTAGCTCTCTCGGTTAAGGCAATCGAGGGTTGACTTACCTTCTCCCTCAAACCGATGGTTGGACGGCTTAGTCACGATTAACCTAGTCGATTAATTCAAGATAGAGGTTTTCCCTACATTAACCTAGGTTGGTGGCTTGAAAAGCCCAAGGAATCCCAACTCAATTGAGCCTCTTTTGGAAAGGGGGGTTTCCCCTCTAACCTAGGTTAGAATGACCAATTAGATTGCTAAGCACAAACATGCACAATCATCATGAAAAATACCTCAATCATTAAATTAAACAACACCTATAAACAATCATTCAATTCACACTACAACTACATGGCAAATAGTTAGGGTTTAACAACACCCAAGTGAAAAAGGTAACTACTCCATGCTAGAAGTAGAAACCATCATGGTGATGCCTCCACTCTCCTTTGATCTTGTGTTGATCTTCTCTTGAAGATATTCTTCCCAATTCACCACTTGGAGCAAACCCTAGCCTCCTTTCTCCTTTGGTTCGTCCTTTCTCCTTTGGTTCGTCCTTTCTCTCTCTAAAATCTTAAGAAAAAGGTGCTTTCTAACTCATGGGCACCCCTCTCTCTTCCTTTCACCTCACGTTATATACTGGGATCGGGCTCAGTTTACGGCCTCAGTTCACGGCCATGAACTCTTCAACGCGTCCGTGAACTCAGAGTGCTATGTGGAAACGCACGCTTCACTCACTTGAGTTCACGGTCTTGTTGACCATGAACTCACCTTGCGTCAGTAACTTCAGAAATCGTCCTGGATGCTTCGCGGTTCACGGTTTATGGCTTCATTTCACGGTCATAGGAGACCGTGAACTCCAATGAGAAACTGCGAACATGACCTGAATCACCCTCTTTGCCCGGTCTTTGCTCTTTTTCTTCCAGCTTTCGACTCTGGGGCTGGTTTCATCTGTTAGATCCCGAAACACACTGAAATGCAAAAAACCTAGCGTAAAACCACCCTTTTAGGAGTTCAAATGCCACAAACGCCCAAGGGAAACGGGGATAAAACGTGTGCAATTAGGCCCGAATCACTCTCCCACACTTAGATGTTTTCTTGTCCCCAAGCAAATCATTTCACACGAGGTGATATCTCAACCTATCAAAATGCTTTGGGGACAAATCAAAGGGCACAAAGTGACGAATCTCAAATGGCTATTGGCAATTAACACATGGACCGTTGCAAGCAATACCGACATCCACCACAAACGACATTCGAGGCTACTAGAAACGAGCAAATGAAAAGTTCTCAGATTGTTGATGAATCAATGCAAGTTTCAACAAGATCACTTACCAACCACAACTAACTATGCATAGAGTTCAAGTTCATTGAACAAACGGATGGGCAACAAAGGTCCTTACCCGGGTATGATATGACATGCAAAACAAGAATGAATCACTCACTCTCTTGAATAGTGGGGTCGCGACCTTTTGGTGCAAAGAATGTGCACAATCATCAACACTCGGCCCTGCTATCGTCTCAACACCACGGGGACAACCTCTAAATGCTAGAGTTCACGGACTGGTTGTCATCACTAGTTTATCTGGAGGTCTTAGACACGGGTTCAAATGAATGGCGATTGTCTTGGACATGGGGAAAAGGCTTTTTGGTTGGTGGAAAACGCATCTTGAGGTCCTACATATTTACCCTAAAATCAAAGGTTCTATGATTTCGACTAAGAACCTTTCTTACAAACAATGGCCACTAGCATCGGCCAAAAACCTTGCTTCTCCCTTCCAAACTATCACCCATCATGAACTTTCCTTATACGTTCTTCCTTGATCTACTCTTGCTATCACCTTTAAATTTGGTAGTGAAGGAGTTCTAAGACAATGTTGAGGTTTCACTGGCTTGAGTGCCAAGAAACCTCTCCTAGAGCATACTCTTTGATTCCATGTGGCACTCTCTACTTTATTTACCCCGTTTTATTACCACTTTTTCGTTTCTCTTTCTTTTTATTTCTTTCAACTTTCCTTTTCTCTCTTTTTAAGAACTCACTCCAACACTACTCTTCCTTTGACTTTATTTCCTAGCAAGAACCACACACAATCCTCCTATGCAGAACCCTAATGGAACTCAAAAGAGAGAGCTTCGGGACACAAGGATGAAACACGTATAGACACGAAGAAAGGATGTGAGGTCGTTCTATCAACACCATTAAGCTCACAAGCAAAAATCTCCTAACATGAGAACGACCCCCAAAGTCACAAGGCTCAAAGGGGTTGACTAGTGGATCAATCATTTTGGGACAATCAACATTTGGGCGTGGACTAATCCTATGCCTCCATCATAGTCACTAGTGACAACTGTGATGTTACTCGCCATGGTAAGAGGGATCTAAGCACACAAGAAAAAAATGATAGACTCAAAGCTCACATGGCTACCTAGTCACCCAACCATCTATTATGATTCACAAAGCAACATGCATGGCAATTGTAATCAAAAAATAATGGAGCCAAAACATCCATTTCACACAAGAGAACTAAACCTTTGCACTATCCTAATGCACCTCTCAGTCATCATCATAGGACATACTCGATCACATGCAACAATTCAAGGTCAATGCCAATAACCACAAGATTCTCCTATAAACCGGCCACTTTGATCATGCAAACATTGCTTGAAGCCCTCAAATTTTTCAAATTTGGGTACACATCAAGGATCCAAGCATCAATCACACTCACATAAGCTTAATAATAGACTACAACCCCACACTTAAGCTCGACATTGCCCTCAATGGCGTAAGTGACACGGTACGACACAACACCAATCTACGACCAAGTATAATCGCAGAAAGGAAATGCATAATAGTGGAAAAGTCTAATCATCAACCCGTGCTCTAGATCTACTGCCTACTCATTGAACTCCTGTTATCTAGAGGGAAGAAGAGAGTGAAGTGTTTTCAGTGCAAAAGAAACAAGGAAACAAGTAATGGTCTGGTTCTTTCAAGTTCAAAAGCTCATCTGGATATGGATCCCTCTAGTGTGTAGCTAGTACAGGTTATACGGTCCCAAATTACTCAGATTGATAGATAAACCGCGGAAAGTTCTTAACTGGTATGGACTCTCAACTAAAGTGGTCTAGACCCTCTTGATTCGAATACCCGGCAGGCGACTA